GGCTTTCCGATCGTGAGTCGGGCGCACTACCACCGCGGCCAATTCCAATATCTCGGTAAAACTAGAAATAATCTTAAATATGTCTTTTATAAAAATATCTGGAAAGAAGATTCAGTTTCAGCACATGGGAAATATCAGAGAGTAAAGAAATATTCAACATAAATCTTAATAAACAGGTATATTAGTATATAAAAAAAAACACGATGCAAAAGGTTCAAGATACCCTGACAGAATCTTGAATTAACTATTCGGTGGTTGAACTCCCAACGGTATGGGCTGAGAAAGTATTATTATCAAAACTGAGATACTGATTTGATTAGCCAAATCAATGAGGAGAGGAACGTTTATAAGTAAGAAAATTAATATCTATTAACAGTTATGTATGTAGGGGATGCTGATTTGTGACGTTATTTCAGAGTACCAAAATAATAATAATAATATTACTAGCCGTAATCAACATATATCTATATATAAATATCTTAGCTGTTTCAACTCCCTCCGTCAGGTGTATTAAGGTTGCTACGAGGGGTGCAGCCGGCTTCAAAAGTGTCCAAGGCGCTGTTCAGCCTGTGATGGCTGGGAGCTGCTCTCACTTAAAAGGCTACCACACCGGTGTCTTATACAAAATGATTACCATGCAGAGGTACAGGAATGGAAGAACGGAAGAATCCATTGAAGAAAACAAAACTAAAGCCGACGGTTCTATTGGCTTTCACAGTCGGTTGCTTAACCGGAGAATAACAACCTCTTAGTTGAGGGTGTTTCCACTGACAGATGTCTGACAGGACGGGGAAAAACAAAACGGTTCTGACGGAAGTTGGCAGTGGAGATAGTCCAAACAATTGGAATAATCAGGCCGGTGCTTTATAAATCCGGTGGATTGCCGAAAGGATTTCTGTCTATAAGAATCTAAAAACAAAACGGTTCTGACGGAAGTTGGCAGTGGAGATAGTCCAAACAATTGGAATAATCAGGCCGGTGCTTTATAAATCCGGTGGATTTCCGAAAGGATTTCTGTGTTCCAACGAAAATATAAGTTTCAGACAACCACAAAACAACGCCAGAAATCACTGAGTCCGAAAATTCGAAGTGCCAGGATGCATGCACAAATTGCTGCAAGATAATTCGGATCGCAAACAACACCTTATCATCAATCTCCAGAATCTAAAGGAAAGATAATTGACATGTTATTTCAGAAGGAAACAGATTGGTGACAGCGATGACAGGTCGAATAATTTACCTACTTCTGCGGTCACAAAATAGTTGACCTTGAAAAAAGGTAACAGAACGGAATACCTACGGTATTCCGTTTTGTGGCCCAAATCCACCAAATCTCAGCGAGTTAACAGCCAGAGGACATACGAACTCCATGGTCCTGTTTAAAAAACGCGAAAGTCATTCAAAGCTGGGTCAAGTATATGACATTTCCGATTCAAGTACGAAATAAAAATACCTTCGAAAAACTATACTTGGGTACAAGTACAAATATTCACTTCGAGACAATAGTTAGGCGCTTTCAAATTCAAATACTCCAAGAAAAAGTTACTTGGCATGTACTCTTCAAGTAGGTACTTTTAAATGACATATTTTCCAAAGAAATATAATGATAATAATAACGATTTATTTCCCAAGAAACAATAATTCAAAAACTAACTGCCTATAACATAACTAAGTACTAACAAAGCACCAAAAAAAAATAAATCAGAACTGAAACTTGAAAAAAATATAAATATACATATATACATACATGTTTGAATATGATCGTCAATAGACATAAATGCACTCATCAGATAATACATTTATGCAAACAAATATTTTTTCAAATCAATCCGGAATTTTTGTTTATTAAATTTTTTTAAAGCATTCAGTACCTCATTGTAAAACTTCATGAATATTTGGTTTCTTTTTCATTAATTTTATATTGCTTGAATATCTTGTCAAATGGTTGTGTTGGTCAACATTGATTTTGAAAGTCAGGATGTAAGGATGACAAATCTAATAGTTTTTTTGGTTCATACAAGTTGACTGTAGGCTCCTTGTAGCTCAACTTTAATATACACCTTATAATTTTGTTTTGAAGTTTTTTAATTGGTTTTAATAAGGAATTTGTTGCCATTCCCCATACTGATATTAGATATTGAATTGTGGAATGTAATAAAGAAAAATAAAACAACTTGAGGTATTTTAGGGGTACAATAGTTCTCATTTTGAATAAAATTCCAATTATGGGACCTATTTTTTTCTTATCAATTCAATGTGTTGTCTCCTTGATACATTTTTATCTATAGAATAAGACCAAGAAATTTAGCACTAGGAGAATTTGATATTTTCTTTATTAAATTCAATTTGATCTTTTGCATTAATTGCTATAGGCCTTTTCGATATGAACATATATGAAGATTTCTGAAAATTCAGTGACAGTTTATGATATTGAAGCCATACAGATATTTGATCAAGGTCTTTTCAAATATTAATTTTAATTTTAATTTCCTGTACACTAACATTTATAATTTACCAAATACATTTACTGTAGCCAAAGAATTTTTAATATATAAGAAACAAAACAGGTCCAAGTATTGATCCTTGCAGTATATATATGTTCATTAAATAATTTTGAAACCAATTATAAACTAGACCTCTGATATCCGTATTCCACGGTATCAAATGCTTTCTTTCTTTAGGTCTAATGAAAGAACTCCACATTTTTTGTTCAAATCTAAATCTAGCTGGATTTGGTTAGGGCTAATACCGCGGATTCTGTGTTGCAATTTTTTCGAAGTTAGTATTGCCCATCATATAATTATTTTGTTTTTTCAAGATATTCAAACAATCCAGAATGTACTGATTTCTCAATGATTTTAGATAAAACTGGAAAGGATTTTTAAGTATTCCATCTGGGGAACCCCCACTGGGAATAAAAGGGGAGCGTTTACATATGAAAATTTCCTTTTCATAACTGTTTCTCCGTACCTCTATATTTTCGGAGTCTGAAATTTTGTATGTATTAATATCAGCATTGCACTCGTTCGGGGCAGGGGCGGATCGCTAGTCATTAATACGAATGAAAATATTAAGTAAACTGTAGTTGTTGTTTTATTGGTATGCTTGAATTGTCTTGTGTAACTGAGTTAGTCAACAGTGAAAGGACTACAGTATTTCTGTAAATTTCTGTAGATGGCTTCCTAATAAGAGCTTTTAATTTGGTAACGCCCTTTTCAGCTTTTATAATCGAATTTCTATAAAAATCAAGAACTGACCTGCCACCAAAAATCAAGAGCTAGACATTCCAACTGGGCACAAATACTACTTTCTTGCTCTAAATCAAGAAAATAGTAGGAATACGATATAATATAATGGCAAACAATTGAAATAGGTATAGTGGCCTTTGGCCTAATTAAAGACGAAAAGTTAACTTGGAGAAATCACATTGAGGATTTAAGAAATAAATTTTTTTCACTTGTTGGCGTTTTCTAGAGAGTGCGTGAATATGTCCAGATTCAATATCCAAAAAATAATATATTTTTCTTCGGTTTATTCCAAACTATATTACTTGATATTGACATGAGTTTCAGCTTCCACACAACCATTGAAGAAGTTGCAAAATAATCTATTTTCACCATTTTCAGAACGAACGTGAAATTCATACGAACCTGCAAATTTATTAAGTATTGAAAGACAAAACAAATCACGAATCTGCTGTTTCATTAATTCAGTTATGATAAAGAATAACTTAAATCCAAAATTCATAATCATGGCCAATATCCGTAATTATCAAACTATGCAAATCAATTATTTATAGTCTATTTCAAAAGAGTGTAGAGTAATAAAATCTCATTAAGTATTCAAAAGCGCTACAGGGTGATCCGTCAATAAATTATGTCACTTCCCTAGTCCGCATTGCAAAATTATGTCGTTTCATAAAGAGCAGGTAGGTATCACCCTGTTTTAAGGGATTTGTCCATTGTTATCGACGGATAAATACTGAGCCAGAGGCGCGCTAGTGGGATAATTGCCAAAAGAATATGCATTCATAAAAATTATATTAAAGGAAATAAAAATTTAATACAGCAGAACAGTGTTATTAAAAAAATATAAAATGTAACAATAAAATATATACGAACCGAAATCGGGAAATACTCACAAACACACACGAACGAACTTTACGTATTGAAACACTTGTGGGGACTTTAAATCAATTTATTCACAAAAACGACAAGAACTTTACTGGATACGTTATTACAATTTGACACTTGAACAATACTAAAACTGTGANCAGGGTCAAAAAGGGATTATTATAATGACATGGCACCTCGGAACTAAGTGTTAACCCTTTTTTGAGAAATCATGCTCAAGTATATGAACCCAAATTGCATATTAAATAAGTTTACAAGAACCACTAAAATTAATCTTAATCTTTTTTTAAGAAATTTTACTTACCTAAATACATGTAGGTACTTAGTTTTAGACCAAATTACTTCCCAAAAATGGCCTTTTATTATTATCTATGTCTGTAATTTTTAATTTACTTTAATTATTAAGTTTAATAATCCTAAGATTTGCCTACGCCCATGGACGACAACGAAATTCAGGCAAATTTTATGACACTTCATGATTTATTACTCTACACTCTTTTGAAATAGACTATAGATTCGGAATAAATCGAAACAAAATGATTTTGTTACCAAAAAAGAAAGGTTTTCTGATACAATGTATATATTAAAAAATTCTTTGGAAAAGTTCATGCTAAATGACAAGTAAATATCAGATTTTTACTACAATTGTTTCTCTCCTTTTTAGAAGAACTCTTCTGTAAAACTCATTGATTTTTTTTTCACTGTAATTGCACTTCATAATGTAATTTGTTCCCTGTTGATTTTTCTTTGGAATAATAAAGTTGATTCAAACTCGCTCCCCAATGCAGTTGGGATAAAAAAACACTCAAGTCATCAAGTCAATCAATGTTGAACCAAGTTCACTAATAATGTTTTTCTCACTTTCAGGTTGGCTCTGCGAACGGCATCGCCTTACAACTATACGGTCCCCACATACAACCTCGCCACTGCGTAATCACCAACGCTGCTGACGGTGTGACGTCACTGACGCCTTGTAACGCTGATGCCCATACTTACGTTAATGGTCAGCGCATCCATCAGGCGACAGTGCTGCAGCACGGAAGCTTGGTGAAGTTCGGCCACAGTAACACCTACCGGTTTCTGGATCCCTCTCACGAAGACAGGAGTAGGCCGGCCTTTGCTAGTGGTGGTGGAGTTGATAATGGAAGCGGCAGGATGTACGAAAGGTAGGTTGGAGTCTTTGTGTTTTGGAAAGTCTTGAGTGTCTTGCACATAATTACAAAGCTTTTTGTTTCGCTTTTATTTGTTTTTGTTGCTCTCGGCTTGGTTTATTTTGATTTTAAACAACTTCGAAAAAAAAAATTAATAACGGTTTCAAAAACTAGGCGTTAAAAGGTATTTTCGATTATATATTTTGACTCCTTGAAAGTTGAACAACAATGAGTTCAAAAGATTCATTATCAAAATACATCTTCGTCATGATACAATGAATTGTAAATTTCTATATACTTTAATAAATTCAGAACACAGAACAACGAGTGCCCAGATGAGGTGGGTTTTTTTATGGTTATTGCTATACTGGGAGTTGTCAATCATTGTTAAAGGTTTCAAAAAAAAAATTATAAATTTTTGATTTCACATTATACCTACTCGAGCAGTTTGGAACAGTGTTATAAAATAAATTGGGTATATCTTGATTCACGAAAAACGATAAAATCATTAAAATCATTGGCAGATGCATCTCAAGTGTTTTTTTTAATTTGTTATTATAAGGACGGCATCTTCAACGACCCCTAAGAAAATGTTCAAATATTTCAACCCTAATGAAAATTTTATTAGTTTTTATGTGGAATAATCTAAACACGTATCATATTCCACTTGTACACTATAGTCAAATATACATCATTCCTATATGCTATATTAGAAGGTCTAATTCTGAGGAACGTAGTGTATAATGAAACAAGTAAATATTTTGTTTTTGGTGATATTTCATTCATATTTCCCAAAATAATGAAGTCTGAACAAACCTTCAATAATGTAGATCATAATCCTTTACCATTTCGATAATATTATATATTCCAATCATAAATCAAAAACCTCGAACACAGTGATTGATTTTCTGTATTCGTATAGTGATTGGCGGTATTACATCGAAACAAATAGGAATAAAATCAATTGAAGGAAATCAATAGAATAGTAGAATCTAAAATATTACAAATAGTAAGCGCCAAACGTGATGGCGAGCACGCCCCCATACGCACAAACTCATTTTCAATGTAACCCCCACTGCAGCTCTTGCAAGATATACAAATGCTCTGTACATAGGCGTATCATTACTTTTCCTCCAATACTGTTGGCGTTTGGATTGATTGTCTGAATAATTTGTGTTGTTTATGAAAAAATGTCATCACCTAGCAAGAGTTTATTTTTGGATAAGTGTATCATTATATAACATTTCAATGAACTACTACCTGTAATACTAAATAAAATATGAAAAGAAATTACAAAGAAGTCATGTTCCATTTGCTACTCCAATTAAAACTAGTTATAGGCAAGAGGCTTATCACAAGTAGTAATCACGTTGGGAGAGTCTATAACTGCGCGATCATTCGCCATCATGTTTGGCGCTTGCTGTAACTAGCTTTCAGAATGGTTTTGCTTTTTCCTTATAGTCTCTTTAATGGTATTAATATATTTAGAGTAACTTATTCAGTCATTCAAAATCATTGTCTTCTGAGACGAACTTTTGTTTGAAGATTCAGAACATTGATAAATCACCAAATGTGGATATTTTTTGCCAATGGTCAAATAGTTAAATATACTGGATATACTATGACACATTTTTCAATCCTAACTAAATCCGACTAAATAGAATATATTATTCGTGCCTACACTAATCACAGGAATTTGTTAATCTTGTTCTATGTCCTACACAAGCAATCACTATCAAGCATCGATGTTTTCTAGTGAAAAAATGTATTTTGGATGTTATTTTTACACATTTTTCAAATTTTTGATGGTACTTCATCTTGGAAAGTCGTCGTGATTTAATAGTCTATGATTATAGCAGAAGAAAATATTCAATCTTTTTTTTTCGACAGAATTCAATTTTTATCTAAGTCATGTCAATATCAAAACAAATTTTATTTGTATGACAAAACTTTCTGAGAATGTACCTCAAATCTGGTATCAGTTCCTAATGTATAGGTTTCAACCCGTGTTTAAAATGTCAACATCTAGTTTTATCTGTAACAAACATATTTGCTTTGAAATGAAATCAGATATTTATGAATGTTACTCCTTTCGAACATCATAATCAATTGAAAATACAGATTGATGGATGATTATACAATTTTTGAAAAATATTTTGACCTCGATTACTTGTGCTATTTTTGCTAGCATCTTTGAAAAAATAGATTTGAAACACTGGGGGGAAATTACTAGAGGTATTCGAAAAGTTGTTTTCCATGTCTAGAACCATTACTTAAACTGTTGAATAAATACAAGATAGAAAAAATATTCAATAAATCACGTGAAATACGAAAACTGTTCAATTTTAATAGTTTTTGTAGAGAGGTCTCAGTATCTAGTAAGAAATGTGTTACGAGTCTTTTGATGTATATGTTTTTCAAATGATTTCCAAATAAAATGTTCTGCCACTAATTCTGAAATATTATTGGCCTCAACGTTTAAACGTTTTTTATTGTTTGAATAACTTTTCACGTTTTTCTCTCAATTTTATTTTTATTCTCATCCTGTTTTTTTTATTTTACTTTGTTTAATTTACCTTTTATTTGTTTCTGCTTTTCTCTTTGCTTCGATAGTCGGTCACCTCGAGCTCTGAGCCCAACGGACACATCGAGAGACAATATCGAAACTACTTTCGATTTGGAAGGAAATGTGGAAACTATTTCCACTGCTAGCGGTCCAAGGGAGGATAGTAGGTCATTGGGATCATCATCGGAAAATAGGTACAACGAAGCACACATTTTTCTACTTCTGGCTTATGTGACTCAAAATTATTTGGCAAAACTTTACACACTAGATTGGTTTTGAAATGTAGAATATTTGGATTCCGGATCACATACACACTATCTTAAAAAACAGTAACACCTACTTCTATTATTCCTAAAACTGTAACATTTTACTGTGCGAAAGCTATTTTCCGGGTTTTCTGGCCGTGGTCTGCAGGTTTTTAAGAGTGACGTTTCGTCTACTGCTGCGGTAGACAGTATTGAAGGAGGTGTGGTAAGGGTCATAGTGCCCAATTTGGTGCTCCCATTGTTCCGAGCGCATTAACTATGATGCTGGTATTTGACTATGATTTTATAATAATAATAATATCGTTTATTATGCATAAAGAATACATTTATACATAAAAGGAAAAAGGGTTAGCCAAAGGCTATCTTCCATCCCTCCCAAAAATTATACAGTGAGTGTAAGAAAATAATTATAAAAATACTTATTTACTATCATAACAATGATGGAGACGGGAAAAAATAATAGATCATATACTTGCTAATAACTCTTAATATTCTTAACATTATTCTGGTCAATTCAACAATTTCATTGCACTACCATACATTGAATTTTGAATTTTTTAAATTATCACTGAGCAGTAAGGATCTGTGATTTTATTTCTTTCTTAAATTGATGAATATTATGATTTGAAAGGGGTAGAATTTCATTCAGATAGGAAGGGGTTACATAAGAAAAACATCCTTGAAATTTGGAAGTACGGTGCCTAGGTATGTTGAATGAGTTGATTCTCAAATTGACCATATTTATGTGAGAATGCCTGCTTAATAAACTATATAAATACCAAGTTGTTTTAGTTTGAAGCCACTTAAACAACAAATTTTTTATCAAATATTGGACTCTGTACCTCACATTCAGCTATTTCATTTTTAACAAAAATGGTGCGACATGTTCACCATATGGTATATAGCATACGAATCGCATGCAAGCATTTTGTATACGTTGTAACTTCTGCTTGTTATATTGCAGCAAAAAATTGTAATACACCGAACAACAATACTCGATATGGGGGTAAATGAGAGTTTTAACTAACCTGAGTTTCATTTCTTCTGATAACTGATACTTGAATTTGTATAGCGATTTGAGTTTGAAGAATGATACTTTGAAAATGTTTGTCACATGTTCATGGAAAGACAAAGAACTATCTATGGTTTCGCCAAGATTTTTAGCACTGTCTACCCAGTCAATGTCTACGTTATCGAGAGTGAGCCTAAAGTTACACAGAGTTTCTATTTGTCTTTAAGACTCTATGCATAAGGCCAAAGTTTTATTTGGATTGATTTTCAGTCCATGATTCTCCAAGTATAGGAATGTTTGGTGCAAATCTGTGTTTATATTGGCCACGCAAATTTCTGGATCGGTGACAAATATAACTGTATATTATCTGCGTATAGATGTACTTGACGATGTGATAAGAAAGTGAGGTAATCAAAAATAAACACAGAAAACATCAAGGAACCTAAAATACTTCCCTGAGATTGTTTCTTTTAGGCATGACCGTGAGTAATCATCCAATTTAACCCTCTCTGTGATCGGCCTGTGAGATAGCTGGTGACCCATTTAAGAGAAATGTTGTCATCGAATCCTATGAACTTGAGCTTGCTGATGAGTAAATCGAAATAACCTAAATTGAAAGCTTCACTTTGATCAAGCAGTACTAAAATGGTGACTTTTGATTGATCCCTGAATCTCACAAGATCGTCGATTACTTTCTAGAGGGCAGTCTATGTTCTGTGTTTTTTGCGGAACCCAGACTGCCCATACGGGAGTATTCGATTTTCTTCAACAAAAGCTCTTACTTGACGGGAAACATTTTTCTCGAATATTTCAGAGAATGACGGCAGAATGCTGATAGGGTGTAGGTCACTGAACGTGGTAGATGCATTCTTTTTCGGAATTGGAATTATATTAGCAGCCTTCCAAACATCTGGAAAAATACCCTGTCTGAAGGACTCGTTGAAAATATCAATCAATACAGTGTGGTGTCACTAAAGAAATCATTTTGATATTTATATTGTCAATACCCAAAGCATTAGATTATATTTCTTTGATAGCAGTCAAAATATCATCATCACATATATCGATGAGGGGTTTGTATTATCAATTTGATATTATAAGTTATATACGGGGATGCTTTATTTTTCTGTTTACAGTGCAAATTGGAGCATGTTTATCAAAAAGCATAATGATGCATTCGTTGAGAAAATTCACTTAGGAATTAATATCTTGCATAGTCACAATATCACCCCATGATAAGGTAGCATCTTGAGAAAAAGTTCATGATTGAACTCCTTGAAATTTCTATAAAAAATCAAGTTATTATAAGTATCTTCACCTTCGAAATCAATATCGCAAAGTACCATCAGGTGATCAGTAATACCATTCATATCAAGTGTATTCGACATCAATCAGAGATTCAGAAGCTGTTGTTATCCGAGTAGAATTTTCTAAATTTGATTCATATCGAAACTAGAAACTAGGACAATGAATAGTTGAGTGTCGCGAGAGTCACAATTTAACAAATTGATATTGATATTACCAACTAACACCACAGCAGGTGTTTCCAAATACACTCCTTTCAGTACATCATCTAACTCCTGCATACAATTCTCAACATTTGTTCCTGGTGGTCGATAAAAAACTCCGCAGGCTACTTTTTGTTTGTTTATATTGACTATAATCCATAGCTGCTCTAGACTATTTGCCAAAATACACTAGTAGTATAATTTGTATTTATACAGTGATTTTCAGGGTACGCTACTGATTAGAAAATGAGTCTGTGTTTATAACTAACGAAAACAAGTATTTTGTGGAAATGATATTGAACATTAGAAATTCATGGATCATATGGTTCGTTATTTCAAAGTTTTACAAAGAATTTGAAATTAATTTTGATCTGGATTCAGTTCAATTATCATCAACTTATTTTGATGAACAATTTAATTCCATCGGTAGCATTCAACTAAGTTCCAAGTATAAAAAGTACCCAAAATCATTTTCAGATGTGTAGTCTCACATGTGGTAATGAAGAATTCAATAAGAATCAAAGATGAGCTTACTAACTATTATTTCATGATTCTTAGTCTTCAGTCAGATACTAACAATAAGGATGAGTAGGGACTTAAAATAGACAAAACAATATCATCACTAAATTATAATTTTAATACAGTTTTGAATAATTATTAATGGAATACTTAAGTACCAAACAAACACAATTGAAAAGAATTGATGTTCTTAGAGAATTTTTCAAGGTTTAAGATTTATTGCAATCAACTTCATTTAGGGTTGCTATCAATAATTTTTTATTGTAAAAAGTCGAATCTTTTCAAATAAAAGTGTGCATTCCAGAAAATATTTATAACTGTGATTTATGTTTTAGAATGATACATTGAAAAAGTTCACATAACTTTATTCTATTATCGATAAAATTGAACTTTAATAAAAATAGCACTACTCATGTCTGGAGGTAATAGAATTATCTCCGAATATTATTACCAAATATAACAGCGTTATAGTGTTACAGAAAAGTGTTACAATATTTGTAATGGCTGAAGGAAGTGTCAAAGTTCTGCTAAAAAATTCTTCAAACACATCTTAGCTCTTAAAATATTAAGTCTGTTCTGTTCTTAACTCCATCTGCTTCTTTAGGTTGAGTGGAATCGATAGATTCCCCAGAGGCCAAGATCCAATTCTACCTGCCGTTCTGGAATTTCCAGAGGAACCTCAAGAACAATTTCTCGCCCGTGTCATAACTCATCTAGATGTCACTACCCCAACGTTTCGTCTGGCGCCTGCTTACACTCTCTACCTTTGCGCAAGGTATCGAGCTTCCACCCACTATCGACCAGAGCTGACTCCTACGGAGCGTGCACATAAGTTGACTTTGTTGCTGCAGCATGCAGCAATGCTAATTAGGTATGAAAACAGAGTCATATCAAAATGGAATATGAACTCAACTTATATATTACTTTATGATGTCATCAGCTATTATCATTACAATAGAACTAACTAGTAACTTCATTGTATTATTCTCCACATGAAAGGGCTTATACTTTAACAATGACAAAATCGAATGTAACTCACATTTTTCATCATGAAATCTTCTACAGAAAAAAGTTTATGTTTTTTATGTAAAATTAATTCTTCATTATTTTATAAATTGGCTATGATAAAATTATATACAGAGTGTTCTTTATGAGTATTTGAAATAATCAATATGAATCAATTTTGTAAAATATTTTTGTTTCATCAACTGAAAAACATTTTCAGTGGTCACTTTCAAAGAACAAACAACCAAACACTAGATATCCAACTAAATCAAAGTCATAAGAAATTTTGAAAATATCCACCTCCTGTCAGTATGCAGGCAATAAAGGATTACGTAGGCATATATGTTTATTCTACAGTATTTTTGTATTCTCAAGTCACAAATAGTATCTTGAAATCGTTTTCATTCCTTTTGCGAAAGAGCCTTTCCTGGTGGTTTGATGAAGCATGGAAGACATGAACTGATTTCACATAGAACTATTGAAACCAAATAAAAAATCACAAAATGAATGGGTGCCGGTTGACAAGAAGATATCCTTCACTACGCTGCTGACTAACAGATTTTAGGTTAGGTTAGAGTCTATTCGACCCTCCACCGCAACCCGCAAGGGTTTATTGTGGCTCACACCTATTAACACTCGAACAAATAAACCCCGCTTCTTAACGAAGCCCGTTAGATTCTATGGTGAGTGGCCTTTTAGGTCAGATGGTAAGAGTACGGCTCTTCTGAACTCTAAAAACCTGATTCGGTTCTCCAGCGAGGCAGGCACAAAGTATGTGCTCTGCTGTTTCATCATTTTCATAACAGCGGCGACACACACTGTCTTCCGACAGTCCGAGTCTCTGCATGTGTTGATTCAAATGACGGTGACCTGTAAGAAGGCCTGTTAGACCTTCTTAGGTAGGTAGTTCCTCCCTACTGTAGTTCAACAACTGTTCAAAGGACGAATAAACACCTTGGAGTGAGCCAATCCTGGAAGATTCTGCCAGAAGTCCATAAATCTTCTTGCCAATCAGGTGTTTAATCTTTGTTTGGCAAAGCGTAAAGCGATGCCAATGACAGGTTCTGATCCGATGAAGTTGCTTGCAGCACCCTCCTTTGCAATGGAGTCAGCAGCCTCATTGCCTTCCAGGCCAGTATGGTCAGGAATCCAGACCAGAGACAATCTGTTAAGTCTTCCTTTCGTAGAGAGTCGTTTTTAGTAATTTGCTACCAATTTAGATGTAAAAAAATATGACTTTTTTTTATTCGGTAAACCTAATTCAGGGTTGATTTGTCAAACACCTTTAGCTGACACGTCGCCTTTTGTCACAAGGTTTTCTTCATCTTCTGTGATGAATAAAGCCGATTATTATTTATAATTATTACTAATTTACAATATTACATTATGAAATATTTGTTGATTTGACTTTCACATATTCATCTGGATGATACGGTACCTTTGTCATATTGACCTCTTCAATTTTCGATTTTTAAATTCCAAAAATGAAATGTTATCGTAATTTGAATTATAATGACAAAAAACATGTATGAGCAAATCCGATACTTCAGCGGGTTTTTTACTGGATATACAGGGCTTTTCATGATGAGCGTTAATTAGCCGTTTCTGACAAACTATTTAACGGATCAACCTGAAAATTTCACAGTATGCATAAGTCAATATGACCTACACGCCTAAAATATTTTAGACGAAGCGGCGTTGTCGCTTCTACTATAAAGTAGCGGCTTCTTTGATTTTTCAAATGGAACACCCCGTATATAATATCATATTATGATTCATTATCACTTTGTCAACAAATTCATATACTATTTCCCTATACCTATCTATTACCGTTTAGAAGATA